GAAGGCCAGGTGGGGCCTGCACCTTGGCGTGTCGGCGGCGAGCAAGGGTTGGGAGCTCCTCGACGTCGACACCGACCGACTGGTCACCACGTCGGACGCGGTGTTCTACGAGGAGATGTCGCTGGCCGAATGGAAGACGGAGCATGGGCCGCTGTCTGGCCGCTCGTCGTCCACCCCGCCCTCTGACACCTCGTCGGCGACGCTGCCGCTGCTTGCCGAGGTCGGTGAGCTTGCTACTGAGGACGTCCGCACCCCTACCCCTCCCCCTCCGACCCCTGCCCCTCCCCTTGTGGCCGACCTGCGTGGGCTGACCTCGGTGTCGGCCTCCGGCGATGAGGGGAGTAGTGGGACGCCGCCTTCGGCGCCGGCCAAGTGCATCGCCGGTGGCCGACGTGACGAACGGCAGGTTGACGTGGGTTTGCAGTCGACGTCGACAGGGGAGAAGCAAGTCGAGGAGCAGTCGGCGACCGGGCCGTCGGCAGGAGAGCCGACCACAAGGGAGAAGTCGGCTGGGAAGCCGACCACAGGGGAGAAGTCGGCTGGGACGCCGACCACAGGGGAGCAGCCGGCTGGGACGCCGGCTGAAGAGCAGCAGGACGCTGAGAGCAGCGACGACAGCAACGATGGAGGGGACGCCGAGGAGGTCCAGCCAGGACCACGGCGTTCAGCCCGACTTCGGAGGCCGCCTGACTTCTTCGTCCCCGCTGCCTTCACCACGGTGTACGACATGGACGATGATGATGATGACCTGCTATACGACGACACCGAGGAGGATGAGGAGATTCCGGAGCTCGACCCCAACATGCTAGCCGGCCCCGAGCACCGTTGGGACATCTCGACGATGACGGTGAAAGAGGCATTGGCAAGCTGGAAGTGCCCGGCGGTGAACGCCGCCATGGAGGAGGAGATTCGCAGCCTCATCAACATGGGCACTTGGGAGCTGGTCGAACGCCCGCCAGGGGTGAACGTCATGAAGAACCGGTGGGTGTTGACGACGAAGTACCACATCGATGACACCGTCAAGCGAGAGAAGGCGAGGCTGGTCGTGAAGGGCTTCACACAGGTGTACGTCGCCGACTACGAAGAGACGTTCGCGCCGGTGAGCAGCTACGTCACGCTGAGGATCTTCCTTAGCATCGTCGCCGTCCTCAACCTCAACCTGATGCAACCCGACATGAAGAGCGCCTTCCTGCAGAGCAAGCTCGATCGGGTGCTGTACATGTCCCAGCCGGACTATTTCAACGACGGAACCGGCCGGGTGTGCAAGCTGCTGAAGAGCTTGTACGGGCTGAAGCTGTCGCTACTGTTGTGGTACTTGGTGCTCAACGATGTGCTGGTCGGCGCCGGGTGGAAGAAGAGCCAGGTCGACGAGGCTCTCTACTTCAAGGTCGGCAAGGGTGGAGTGGCCTGCTGGGTGCTGGTCTACGTCAATGACCTGCTTGTCGCCAGCAGCAGCGCCGCAATGCTGAAGGAGCTGCTGGAAGCCGCCTTCGAGCTACGCGAGATCTCGCCGGTGCAGAAGTACCTCGGGCTGGAGATCGTGCGTGACAGGTCGGCGGGGAAGCTGTGGCTACACCAGCAGGGCTACGCCAACAAGCTGCGTAGGCGCTTTATCGACGAGGAGCAGACCGGGCGCACTCCGAAGACGCCGGTCTCGGTCGACGCCTACGCCGAGCTCACCTTCGACGACGAGGAGGCGCAGGAACGGCAGGAGGAGGAGTACCGGCAGAAGGTTGGCTCGCTGCAATTCGCGGCGACGGCGACGAGGCCGGACATCGCCTTCGTCTGCAGCAAGCTGGGGAGCGGCCTCACGGTGAGGAGCGACCAGCACTGGCGCGAGGTCAACCGCTGCCTTGCCTACCTTGCCAACACGTGTGACACCGCCCTGGAGTTCGGCGGTGGACCTGAGTCGCTGGAGCTGGTCGGCTACGTGGACGCCGACGACGCTGGTGACAAGTAGAACAGGATGAGCACAGGCGGCTACGTGTTCGTCTACGGAGGGGACGCAGTCTCCTGGTCAAGCCAGCGCATCAAGTGCGCGACGTTGTCGTCGACCGAGTCGGAGTACGTGGCAGCCACTGAAGCTGGCAAGGAGGGACGCCGCCTGCGCTTCCTCCTCGCAGAGTTCCGGCAGCTGGACGCCGGGAAGCCGACTGTCCTGCGCATGGACAACAAGTCGGCCATCACGGTCGCCAAGGGCATGGGGTTGACAGGCAACCTCAAGCATATGGAGCGGCGACAGGCCTGGCTGCAGCACATGGTGAAGCGCGGGAAGTTCTCGCTACAGTACATCCCGACCGCTGAGCAGCCAGCCGACTTCCTAACGAAGGCGCTGCACTATCCGGCCTTCAACCGGTGCTCCGTCGCAATCGGCCAGGTGCGCTTGGCTGACGTGGGTGACGGCGACGACGACGTGCAGCAGTAGGTGCCATGCCCTCTTGCATGTCTGGTGCGGTGACTGGCGTGCTATGTGTTGGGCGCACGCCGACGGGCTATTCTCGGAGCTGTACTGCCGTGTGGGCTGGGGGCCCAAGCGTGAACGCGGCAGGGGAGTGTCAACGGGAGCGTTGTAAGGCCCCGTCCTCGCTTGGGCGGAGCCAACCTTGTGGTCGGATGTGCGGGGGTTGCAGCCAACCTGCAGCAGTGGGCACGGGGGCCACTGCAAGGGCGCCGAGCTGGAAGGCGCTTGGCTGGAGGGCGCCGAGCAGGAGGACGCCGCCCTGAACGTCTGGTTGGCGTCCCGGACGCCTGGACGGCGTCCTGGGAAGCTGGACGCCGAGCTGGGCGTCGCCACGACTACCCGGCCGCCTGGTCGACGTTATGGGCACCTGCACGGCGCTCTGGAAGGCCAGACGCCGACCTAGGCGTATGTACGGCATCCTGGGGGTCCGGACGCCGACCTGGGCGTCCCGAGGGGCCCAGACACCGACCTGGGTGTCCGGTTGGCGTCCTGGGAGGAGGGACGCCGATCTGGAGGTTTGGTCGGCGTCCTGGGCGTGTGGACGCCGACCTGGGGGTTCAGAAGGCGACGCCGACCTGGATGCCAACCTACGGACTGCGTGGGTAGACCAGGCGTGGTTGCCCGGTCGATCGGGATACCCGGGCGACGTGCGCGAGTGTCGCCAGGGTGGAGTCTGCGAGGCCGACCTCGGGGGTGGTATCCCGAGGTCGGCGTGGCTGGTGGGCACAGTCGCTGGCGTGGAGTCTGCCAGGCGTCTGCGTTGTGCACGTGACAGGGACGTGCGCACCAACTAGCTGCGCGCACCTGTGAAGCAGGTGCACCGCTGTCCTGCGGGTGCAGTGCTGTGCAGCCGTCTTGCTGCAGCACTGGCACACTGTGGACTTGCAACGTTGGCGAACCGCTACTCTGCAACGCTAAAGCGGTGCGAGCGCTGCTGCGCTGGAGCGCGGTCGACCGTGCTGCGCTGGAGGTCGACCAGTCGCCTAGCTAGCACTGATGTAGTTTTTGATGCCAATGTTGTTACTATCATTGTTGTTATGTTTTCCTAGTGAAACTCTTGCCAATTCTCCCGGTGAACTAGCAAGAAGCGTGAACACAAGGAAACGACTAAGTGAACGAACGCAGAGATCACACGAGCACACGTGCCTAGCCCGTAGTCTAGCTCCCGTTGCTGCAGTTATCTCCACAAAACTCGCCTACATGAAGTCGGAGCTATAGAAGAGACAAACGTGCACAGGCCTGGGTGAGCTGCGCAGCTATCTTGGCTTGTAGATCACCCGGAACAGAGCACAGCGCACCATTACCTTGACTCAGTCACACATGGTGGAGCAGGTCCTTCAGCGCTTCGGCTTCACGTACTCCTCGCCACAGTCCACTCCTTTGCCTACTCGCCACTCGCTCTCAGCTCTGCCTTCAGATGAGTCCGTAGAGCCGAGTGGCCCGTATCCAGAGCTTGTGGGCTGCCTCATGTACTTGATGACCTGCACTCGACCTGACCTAACATACCCTCTTAGCATCCTGGCACGCTATGTTGCTCCTTGGAGACACCGGAAGGAGCACATGGATGCCGCTAAGAGGGTGTTGCGCTACTTGTGCAGTACGTCGAGCATGGGGCTCTTGCTTGGAGGACGGGCTTGAGCTGTCCTCACTGGTCACGCAGACGCTTCGTGGGCTGACGACTTGGCTACGCAGCGGTCGTCACAGGGTTACACTTTCAGCCTTGGATCCGGCTCTGTTTCGTGGCGATTAACCCGCTCGTCTTCTGTTCTCAGCTCCAGCTATGAGGCTAAGATCTACGCAGGGGCCATGGCTGCACAGGAGTTACGCTGGCTCACCTACCTGTTGATTGACCTGGGAGAGCGGCCTCGTTCTCCTCGAGTTCTCTAGATCGACAACAAGGCCATGATTGCCTTGTGTCAGGAGAACAGAGTGGAGCACAGAACCAAGCACATCGCTCTGCGCTACTTCCTTGCTTGAGAGTTGCAGCAGCGTGGTCAGCTTCGTCTTGCTTATGTGGCCATTCAGGCCAACACTACTGATATTTTCACCAAGGCACTACAGCCTTGTGATCATCAGCGTTTCTGTATTGTTCTAGGCCTTGTGCCTACTTGGCCTCACTTGCTCATTTCTTGACTTTGTTTGTACTGTGATCTTTATACATATACCCGCATGCTTACACTTGCTAGCTGTACTGCTTGTTCTTCTTTATATAACTCTGCATATGAACTGGCCTAGTGACCATTTGCTTGTGCTCGGAATGCGTGGTGACGTCGTCATCCACCCTGAGCTTGCTTTGCTATTCTTGACTGGGTCTTGTGACCTCTTGTTCTCCCCCACTTTGCCTATGGGGGTGTGTCAAACTTATATGACATAGTCTGTGTAGGCTGTAGTGGGGTAGTCAATATGGGGTACAACACTTTTAGTTTTTTCCTACTTGTACCCACCTTCTTGCTAATTCAATCATTCCTCGTTCTATCTTTCTCAGGGAAGGGGACTTGGGGAAGCAAGGATGGGGACTTGGGGAAGTAGGGAAGTGGGCTTAGGAAAGCAGGGAAGGGGATGGGGGGAAGCAGGGAAGTGGACATGGGGAAGCAGGTAAGGGAATGGTGGGAAGCACGGAAGGGGTTGGGGGGAAGCAAGTCAGAGGATGGGGGTAAGCAGTGCGGGAAACCCTGGGGAAACGGGGAAGAGGATGGGGGGAAGCGGGACGTGGGGAGCGGGGGAGATGCCGGGGAGAGAGCTGGGGGGAGGACGGTGGGGAGCCCGCAAATGATGTGGGGAAGAAGGAGAGAGGTAAGCAGTGTGGTGGTGAAAGGCGATGTTGGGGGAAGGGAAGGGTGTGTGCGGATTGGAAAGGGGGCGTGACAAGTGTGTGAGTTGGAAAGGGAGAAGGGAGGGATGGTGACAGTGTCGCGAATGCAAGGGCGATGAGGGGAGAGAGATACGGGGATGGAGAGGGGATGAGCAGGAGGGTGGGCAACGAGCGGCAGGGAGCGCGACGAGACAAAGGGGGGCAACGGGCGGAAGGGAGCGTGACGAGGGGAAGGTAGGGTGGCGGGCGGTCGAGAGGGCAATGGGAGGAAGCGAGGGCGACGAGACGAAGGGAGGGTGACGGGCGGAAGGGGGGGCGACAGGCGGAAGGGAGGGCGACGGGCAAAAGGCAATGCGACGGGCTGAGGGAGTGCGACGAGCGGAAGTGAGTGAGATGGGCGGAAGGGGATGCGACGAGCACAAGGGAGTGCGACAGGTAGAAGGGAGGGCGATGGCGGAAGGGGATGCGTTGAGTGCTAGGGAGGGTGATGGGCATAAGGGAGGGCGACGGCGGGAGGGAGGGCGATGGGCGTAAGGGAGTTCGACGGGCGAAAGGGAGTGCAGGCACACGGAAGGGAGTACAGGCATGCGGAAGGGAGTGCAGGCACACGGAAGGGAGCGCTGCAGGCAGAAGCGGGTGCATCGAGGAGTTGGCAAGCGTGTTGAAACCAGGCAAGTGTCCGTTCCTTGCGCTTAGCACACCACCATCGTCCCTAAAGAAATGGGCAAACCCGGTGACGTTTTTCTTCATACTGGTATTTTTTCTACTTCTTCTTGGAGAACAACAAACACGCTGCTGGGTGGATACAAACAGCTTGCTGCCATTGTAAAATTGGGAGCGTACACGCTCTTTTGGTCCTGAGTAGCGGGGAGTAGACTACGCGTATTGTGCCTAAATATGGCTGCCAAGTAGTACAACTTGGTTTTCAAGTTTACTGAATGTGAACAGTGCTCCATCTCCCGTTGACACGTCACCCCAAAAGCCTTGTTTTGTTGCTGGCAAATCATGCATAAGAGTTGCAAAACATCTCCTCCTCAACGCGACGAAATGCTTCACTTCGGGTAGTAACTTGGTTTTTGGCGAGTTCATATTCAAGAACCTTGAATTTGAAATCAGCCATGTGGAACTCGGGCCTTAACATCCAAATTTTTTTGCTTCCATATCAGCAGTGGGAATCGGCCTTGCAAACTTCGCCTCCACAGGGTCTAAGCAACAAATTGTTTGGGACCCTACCATAAAGGGAGCAGGAAGCGCTTTGGGATAGACCAACGAGACAATTTCGGCCTCCCACAAGGGAACTTACAAACGGATGAGCTTTTTTAATGTGCTTAGAGTCTTCCAGCTACTACATCTGGATGTAAAACTCAATCTGTGGAGCCAGCTTGCCTTATTCCCCGTGAGCACGCTTCTCCCGTTTTGATTCTGCTATATGATTCCATCTCTACATAGGTGGTTCAGCAACGATACACTCTTAACTAGTATAAACTAGCGCTGTGAAAATTGAAGTTCGATCCATTGAGTACAAAATACAGAGGTGGTGGTTGTTGCTCATGAAAAGTTATTTTGAAGATCATGTATTTGGTCTTCTCAGGTATTCTAAAGTGCATCCATAAAACTATAATGCATGCCACGGCTGTTAATATGCTACTGCTGCTAATGTAACGTCTGTAAGCTTACACACGAGCCAAATTAAGAATCCACTTCGCCTTTACAACTCTTGTTTTGACCCAGCAGTTGGCTGTGACTTGTAAAATGAGAGCCTAGGGTTTTGAAGCCATATTGGTCCACCTTTCTCTTTTTGCAATGATAAATGGAATAGATCGATAATGAGGTCCATGTGGTATTGGGCAGGCACGAGCTGGTCAGGGAGGCAGGTCGCAATGATGTACCGGGTGAGATGCGTGGAGCATAGTTGAGTACCAAGATTGACAACAGTAAAGAAAAAAGGTGAGAAGGATAGAGGAAGGGCATGAGAAGGCACCGTAGAGCAGTACAAGAGGATGTAGAGTATCGAGCAATAATATCATAAAAGTGCTCCTTCGCCATCTCGGCCTAGCAGTAGTGGACCGGCCGGGCCTGTGGTAGGAGATGACCAATGGCAAGGTGCGCAGAAACGTCTCCCAAGTGTGTACGCAGCTGGGTGTCACAATACTCCTTCTGCTGCTTGGTGGTGGCATCAGCGGCAATCTTTGTAGGACGTGGGGAGTGCAGGCAACTCATCGAGGCATGGACGTACAGGAAGACGTTTGGAACAAGGAATGGCTCGAGCTAGCAGCTAGAGCTAGGAGTGGCCAGAGCTGGGAGAGGCTAGACACGACTGGCTAGAGCTAGAAGCGGCTGGACCTAGGAGTGGTTGGAGCTAAAAACGGTTGGACCTAGGAGCTGCTGGAGCTAGGAACGGCTGGAGAGGCAAAACAGATGGCAGTGTGGGCTGCAATGAGGGTGGCTGTACGGATAGCAACTTGCGACAGGACGGGTAGTAGTGTGGATGTCCGGGAGGGCGGCTTTGTGGAAGACTATGTGCGATTACAGGCGGCGAGATGGACAGCAGCGTAGATGTCAGCACGGGCAGTTTTACGAAAGGTTATAGGCGGATACGAGTGGTTGAAAGGACATAAGAGTGGGCTGCAGTAAGTTAGGTTGAACGAACGACCGATGGTAATGCACACTACTGCCAGTACGTGCTAATACTAGTGCACCTACCACAGCAGCATGCGCCGGAGCTGCAGCAGTGGCGGCTCTGGTGCATTGCTGCTGCTGGTCGCATTGGTATGCAGCAGCATGATGATACTGCTATCACACGTTAGCTGCGGCTATGCGTTAGGACCTGGTGCTGCGTGTGGGGAAAGGCAACAGTAGAGCAGCGTCCACGATGGACTACAATTGCTAGCATGCTGGTTGCGACCTAACGAGCAGCTGGCACATTACAATGTACTGCTACAGTTGCATGCACGCAAGCGTCACCCTAACACAGCTGCTAGCGCATTACAGGGGCTGCACACGTAGCTGGCATACGTACAAGCAAATGTACTTGCTGGCGACAACGTAATGCAGCAGCGCGATAGGCAGTAGCAGCACGATGAGCGGCACAAACCGGATGGATGGCGGGAGCGCGATGAATGGCCTGGAGACGGGCTATGCAAGGCTCAAATTGAGGGGTCGTGGAGGCCTTGCGAGGCGCGAATCAATTGGGCTGCGAGAGAGAGCCTAACGGGGCACGAACTGAGGGGCCTATGGGGCACGAAACGAGGGGCGCAAAATTGGAGCCTTTGGGGCACGAAACGAGGGATCGTGGGGATCATTTACGGGGCCACTCAAGGTGTCAGAATGTTCTTATCTAGCCTGTAGTGGGGTGCTCTATAGCGAGTACAACCCTGTTAGGGTTTGCTATATGTATCTCCACTGCTGCTAGTCAAGCCCTCTTCTCTCTTCTAACTTTCACACAAGGGACCCGCGGGGGTTGTGTAAGAAGCAAATTGGACGACTCGCAAGGGTCGTCCTAAGTGGCAATTTGGGACGCTGCTGGCTTGCACGCTAAGGATGGCGGTGCTGGCTGTTCACAGCAGCCAACACCTCACGCCACCTTGCACGCTGGTGTGCATGCTGGCATTCGCTGTTGGCGTGCTGCTGGCTTGTGCGCTCGTAGCAGTTGCTGGCGCGCTACTAGCGTACTAGCGCTGATGGGCTGTGCGCTATTGTGCACACTGACGTGCGCACTGAGGTGGCACCTGATGTGCGCACTAGGGCGGCACCTGGCGTGCGCACTTGGGCGGCACCTGGCATGCACGCTGGCTTGTTGATGTGTCCGCTGGTGTGCGCTAGCGGGCTGCGTGCTGGCGACTGTTGCTAGCGCACTGCTGGTGAGCTGCGTGCTGGTGGCAGCTCTTGGCGTGCGCGCTGGCTCGTTGATGAGTGCGCTGGAGTGCGATGGCGGACTGCGCGCTAGCGGCAGCTGATGTAACGCATTGCCCTAACTAAACTCACTAACCAACTTCCCTCTAGGCAAATGTCGAGAGTTTCCTCGACGAGGACTTGGAGAAGAAGGTTGGGTTGGGTTAGGATAAAACTTGGTTTGGGTTTGCCAAGCCTCAACTTGGAGACTTGGAACTTTTCCAACTCAACCAAGAAAATGTTGAAGGTTGGATTTCCAACCAATCACAAACTGCCAAACAATCGTTACAATTTACTCTATCCTAAACGCAACCATTAAATGGTCCTATGTTGGGTTTTCCCAACCCAACTAATTGCCACATAGGCTCCAAGCCTAAGAACCATCCCACTATGGAAACCATGGTTGGGAGAGTTCCCAAAGAAGTGTATTGAGGGGGTTTGAGTTCCCAAGCTCATTCTTCGCCTCCCACTCCAGCTAATCAATCAGAAATGGGATTGTTTTGCCTAAGTCATTGAGAGCTCTCTCACACAACTCTCTACACAACTTCTTCAAGTGCTTCTCATCAAAGGTTTCAACAAGACTCTCATCTCCAAGGCTATAAAGAGGGGTTAGCTAGAGCTACCATCTTGTACCAGGATTCTTATAAAAGCCTTGTAATCTCTACTATAATAGCCTCGGGTGTTACATTGGTATCTAGTGCAAGGTTCTTCCTTCGACTTGTGTGGCCATTTTACTTCTTGATCTAGGAGTTCATCCAAGGAGGTGTAAAGATTTTGAAGAGATCTCAAGATCTTCAAAGGTCCCTTCAAGATCTACAAGAGCTTCTACAAGATCTACAAGCTTCAAGTTACAATCACTTAAGTCATTCATTGGAGCTACAAGATCTACAAGGACTTTCTTATTTTCATCAACTTTGAGAAGAATTTTGAAGATATTAATTTCTCTTACCTACCTTTGGTGAAAGACTCTTGATCTACCTTGGGTAGAAGAGTATATTTTCAGATCTACAAGGACTTGTTGATGATTACTCTCTTGAGTATATCTTACTCTATCATTGAGGTGATAGAGAGATTTTGCAAGCAAGTCAATCTTAAGAGACTCTGTATTGGATAATTATATAAGCGTAATCATATTTCCTAAAGTTTATTATAGGATCTGTTGAGATCTTTTTTTCCATAATGTCAGATTATTATAGCTAATGCATGTTTGTAGACTATAGTGGGATAGCACATATGGGGTACAGCTTTCTAGGGTTGTATTTGTACCCAACACTAGCTTAGTCATTCCATTCCTGGTCATTTATTTTCACATGGTATAGAGCGAGTTCCTTGTGGGAACGTTGCCTAGGGCCCACCGAAGCGCGCCCCGAGGCGCGCACCTTTTTTTTAGCGACCCCTCGAGTCGCCCTTTCCCTCGTGGCCCCGCCGTCCCTCAGACGCGGCCCCGCCACCCCTTCTGACGCGGCCCTGCCGCCTACTCTAACGCGGCCCCGCCGCCCGCTACGACGCGGCCCAGCCGCCTGCTCTGACGCGGCCCCGCCGCCACCTCTTACGCGGCCCCGCCGCCACCTCTGACGCGGCCCCGCTGCCTGATCTGACGCGGCCCCGCCGCCACCTCTGACGCGGCCCCGCCGCCTGATCTGACGCGGCCCCGCCGCCACCTCTGACGCGGCCCCGCCGCCTGCTCTGACGCGGCCCCGCCGCCCGCTACGACGCGGCCCACCCGCCGACTACGACGCGGCCCCGCCGCCCGCTACGCCGCCGGCCCCGCCGCCTGCTCAGCCGCGGCTCCGCCGCCCTCTCTGCCGGCCCCGCCGCTCCACCAGCCGCGGCCCCGCTGTCCCCGCCGCTGCACCTGCCGGCCCTGCTACTCCGGCCCCGCCGCTCCTGGTCTCGCGGCCCCGCCACCCTACCTGCAGCAGCCGAGCCGCCCCCCTGCAGCAGCCGAGCAGCAGTGCAGCCGAGCCGCCCCGCACCCGAGCCGCCCTACCGCCGAGCCGCCCGGGAGCCGAGCCGCCCTGCACCAGAGCCGCCCTGCCGCCGAGCCGCCCGGGAGCCGAGCCGCCCAGCAGCCGAGTCGCTGAGTCGCCGAGCCGCCCTTCTGCAGAGTTGCCCTACCTGCCCTGCCTGGTGAGCACAGTCCCACTGTCACTGCGTGCTCTTCCCCTACTGCTTGCACTGCTTCGCTGTCGTCGTTATGGCTACCCCTAGTGTCCTAGCTTTTGACGCTGAGGGTCGCGCCATTGACTTTGAGGTCTGGATAGACGACCTGCAGTTGTTTTTACAGTGCGATAGGGCAAACGGCCTCTCTCTCTTTGACCTTACCTCTGGCGCCTCTCCTGCTCCTGCTGCTAATGCTGATCCCACTGTGCGCTCTCAGTGGGCCACCCGCGATGCTGCTGCACGTCTTGCTGTGCGTCGCCACCTCCCTACCTCTGAGCGCGCGCACTTTAGTCAGTACAAGAGTGCTCAGACCTTGTACGACGCTATAGTTGCGCGCTACTCCTCCCCTGCCACTGCTGCACTGAGCCGTCTCATGCTTCCCTACCTCTTTCCTGGCCTCTCTGCCTTTCCCTTTGTCGCTGACCTCATTACGCACCTCCGCACTAGTGACACTCGCTACCGCGCCGCCCTTCCTGATGAATTCTGCGCTAAGACCCCCCCCCCCATGTACATCACTCTCTACTACGTAGTCGCACGCCTCCCTGACTCCCTTCGCGTAGTCAGGGACCACTTTCTCGCAGTCTGTCCCACCACCCTCACCGTCGACGTCCTCGAGAAGGCCCTCCTCGCAGCGGAGAAGAGCATAGTCGCTGTAGGAGCTTCTCGTGGTGACCCTCGCACCCCCATCTTTGAGGGGTGCTCTCCTTCCCCCTTGCTGCCCTCTGTTGCCTCTGCTGCTGCTGCCGACCTGCTTGGTCTTGAGTCGGTCGGCGCGGCGTCTGCCCCTAGTGGGAGACGTCGCTCTGGCAAGGGCAAGGGGGGCAAGGGCGCGGGTGGAGCTGGAGGGGGCGGTGGCGGTGGCGGCGGAGGCGGCGGAGGGAGTGGGGGTGGTGGCGGGAGTAGTGGCGGGGGTGGTGGTGGTGGTGGCAGCAGCGGCGGAGGCGGCGGTGGTGGTGGCAGCGGTGGTGGTGGAGGCAGCGGCGGAGGTGGAGGCGGCGGAGGAGGTAGCGGAGGAGGCGGTGGTGGTGGAGGGGGTGGAGCTGGTCGGGGTGGTACCCAGCAGCGGAGCGGCGGCGGTGGTGGCCAGCGCTCGCAGCAGCAGCAGCAGCAGCGTTCGCGGGACATCCCTCCGCCTCAGCAGCTTCGTGAGTGGTTCACTCAGCGTCAGAGGGGTGAGGGTACTGGTCCTTGCACCTACGTCCTTCGTTCCGGCGACCACGCGGTTGAGCAGTGTGGGGGTGCCCACCCCACCCAGCGCTGCTTTGGCCGCCTGACGGACGCTTGGCGTCAGCAGTTCCCCGGGGCTAGTGAGATCCCTCGCTGGGATGAGCTTCTTAGGGCTGGTGTAGCGATCTTTGATCTTGATTTTGATGCTATCCTTGCTGCTATGTATGCTGTGACTATTAGTGAGGAGACTGAGGGTTACCGGTGTTTCCAGCCCGACCCGGGCATTGGTACTGCTGCGCTAGGTGCTTGTGAGGCTGCTGCTCTAGGTGCCAGTGCGTCTGCGCTCTCGGGTACTGGTGAGACTGCGCTCTCAGGTACTGCGTCGCCCTCGTCCTCCCTTACTTTCACACTTGACTCTGGGGCTTCTCGCTCCTTCTTTCGAGACCGCACCACCCTTACGCCACTTGGCCGGCCGGTTGCCGTCTCCCTGGCTGACCCCTCTGGGGGTCCTGTCCTCTCTCACTTCTCCACTGTCCTCCCGTGTCCGGCTGCCCCTTCGGGCACCCTGTCTGGTCTATACCTTCCCTCGTTCTCTACGAACTTGGTGAGTGGCGCGGACCTGCAGGATGTGGGGGTTCACCAGTTCACTCCTGCGAGTCAGCGGGTGACCCACTGCATGGAGGCACGCACAGGCCGACACCTGGCCACGTTCTCGCGTCGGCCGGGGTCGAGTCTCTACACCCTGACCGTTGAGTCTCCTCCTGTCCCTGCGTCTGGTCAGGTAGCTGCGTCAGGTCAGGTGCTTGCTGCTGCGTCCCGGTCAGGTCCTGAGTCTGCCCCCTGTGCTTGTCGCCTTCTGTCTCACGAGACTCTCCTGTGGCACCACCGTCTTGACCACTCCTCCTTGCCCCGTCTTCGGAGCATGGCTTCCCGTGTCCTTGTCTCTGGTCTTCCCCAGTCTCTCCCTCCCCTTCCCTCCGGGCCAGGACCTTCCTGTGTCCCCTGTGTCGAGGGTCGCCTCCGGGCTGCTCCTCACTCCTCCCAGTTCCCCCCGACAGAGGCTCCTCTGCAGACGCTTCACATGGACGTGTGGGGCCCAACCCCCGTCCGTGGGCAGGGTCACGAGCGCTACTTTCTGTTAGTGGTTGACGACTACTCGCGTTACACCACAGTCCTCCCCTTGCGCAGCAAGGGTGCTGTCACTGAGGTGCTGATCGACTGGATCCGCGAGGCTCGTCTCCAGCTCAGGAAGAGCTTCGGCTCGGACTTTCCTGTTCTGCGTCTGCACTCGGACAGAGGCGGAGAGTTCTCCTCGCGCCTTTTGCGAGACTACTGTCGTGCACGGGGGATCCGCCAGACCTTCACGCTTCCGGACTCTCCACAACAAAATGGGATTGCTGAGCGCCGCATTGGCATGGTCATGGATGTCGCTCGTACGTCCATGATGCATGCGGCTGCCCCCCATTTTCTGTGGCCGTTTGCGGTGAGGTACGCGGCGCATCAGCTCAACCTTCACCCCCGGGTCTCTCGGCCCGCGATGTCCCCAGTCTCGCTGTGGACGGGGAAGGTTGGCGATGCGTCGGCGTTCCGTGTCTGGGGATCTCGGGCGTTTGTCCGCGACTTGTCTGCGGACAAGCTGTCCCCTCGTGCTGCTCCCTGTGTCTTCCTTGGCTTCCCAACAGACGCTCCCGGGTGGCAGTTTTACCACCCCTCCTCTCGTCGTGTTCTGTCCTCTCAGGACGTCACGTTTGGCGAGTCAGTCCCCTTCTACCGCCTCTTCCCCTACCGCACTCCATCCCTCCCCCCTCCGCCGGACTTCCTTGTGCCAGTTCCCCCCCCGGTAGACCCCCTCCCCCCTCAGGTTCCTGCCCCCTCAGGTGTGTCCCAGGTAGACGCAGTTGACCCGGTCGAGGTTACTGGTGACTCTGGTGCTGCTGCGGGTGCTGAGCCTGGGGGTGCTGACTCTGGGGGTGCTGAGCCTGGGGGTGCTGGGCCTGGGGGTACTACTGCGGAGGGTGCTGAGCCAGGGGGTGCTGTGCCTGGAGCTGCTGAGCCTGGGGGTGCTAAGTTGGGAGCTGCTGAGCTTGGGGGTGCTGAGCCTGGGGGTACTACTGCGGAGGGTGCTGAGCCGGGGGGTGCTGTGCGTGAAGCTGCTGAGCCTGGGGGTGCTGAGTTGGGAACTGCTGAGCCTGGGGGTGCTGAGCTTGGGGTTTCTCCCGCTGCTGCGTCTCGACGGGAGCCCCTCTCTCCACAGGAGCTGCGCGAGTGGTTTGCTCGCCGCTGGAGGCGTGCTGCTGGAGCTAGAGCTTCTTCGACCGTCGAGGGTGCTGGTGCTGCCGGTCCCGGAGCTGCTGGGCCTGCGGGTCCTCCTGGAGCTGGAGCTGCTGAGGGTGTTGGTGCTGAGACCACTGCTGTCTGTCCTCGCGGTGGTTCTGCTGCTGGTACTGCTGGAGGTCCTGCCGCTGGAGGTGTTGGTGGCGCTGGTACTTTCGCTGAGGGTGCTGGTGCTGTCCCTGCTGAGTCTGGAGCTGCCGCGCGGCCTCGGCCGTACTTCGTTCCGCTCCTGGAGCAGGTTCTTGGTCTTTCTCCTCCGGTAGAGTGTCCGCAGCCTGTCTAGTCGCAGTCACTGTTGGAGCCTTCCTCTCCTCTGCCTGCTCCCTCTCCTTACACTGGTCCTACTGGAGGTCTTACTGAGCGTCGTGAGCCTGCGTCTCGTCCCGCGTCGCCTGTTCGTTCTGCTCGTACTAGTGGTCGCGGTTCGCGTCAGCGTCCTCCTCCTGTCCCTGGCACGCACCGGATGTCTCTGCGTCCGTCCACTGCTCCTCTGCGTGCCCCTTTGCCTTCTCCTCCTGAGTCCTCTCTTCCTGTGCTTGCCGACCCTGAGTCGGACTCTCTTCGTGCTGCCAGTCCTACTGTCACGCGTCTGCTTGCTACTGTCGTCACTGACCCCTCGTTTGAGTCCACTGCTGCGTCTGCTCTTGTCGCTGAGCTCGTCGACTTTGCTGCTCGCTGTCGCCTAGACTACGCTGCTAGTCTTGTTGCCGAGTCTGCGTCTGTCTGTCCTACGTCCGTCGGGGGTGAGTGTGCTCTTGGCACGGACGTCCTAGAGGACACGCAGGAGGAGTTACAGTGTCTGGCTGCTGCTTCACCTCATCTCGCGTCTGTACTGCTTGCTCCTGAGGGAGACCCGGATGCACTAGACATCCCGACTCCGCGCTCTTACGCGGAGGCCGTAGAGGGTCCCTACTCCTCTCAGTGACAAACAGCTATGGATGCAGAGATGGCTTCGTGGAAGTCCACAGGCACCTACGTTGACGCAGTTCCCCCTCCTGGGGCGAACATCGTCAGTGTCATGTGGATCTTCCGGGTGAAGCGGCCGCCGGGCTCTCCACCTGTCTTCAAGTCGCGGTACGTTGCTCGTGGCTTCAGTCAGCGGCAGGGAGTTGACTACTTTCAGACCTTCTCTCCCACCCAGAAGATGACCACTCTTTGGGTGCTGCTGCACATAGCCGCTCAGCGCGACTACGAGCTTCACTCTCTCGACTTCAGCACTGCGTTCCTGCAGGGTAGCCTGCACGAGGAGATCTGGCTGCGCCGTCCACCTGGCTTCACTGAGACTTTCCCTCCTGGCACCCAGTGGAGCCTCCGACGGCCAGTCTACGGTCTCCGCCAGGCACCGCGTGAGTGGCACGACACACTGAGGACTACGCTTGCGGCTCTTGGGTTTGCTCCGTCTACTGCTGACCCGTCGCTGTTTATGCGCACCGACACTTCACTGCCGCCGTTCTACATCCTCGTGTACGTCGACGACTTGGTCTTTGCCACAGCGGACACTGCTGGACTCGCCTACGTGAAGTCCGAGCTACTGAAGAGACACACGTGCACAGACCTGGGTGAACTGCGCAGCTACCTTGGCTTGCAGATCACTCGGGACAGAGCACGCCGCACCATCACCTTGACTCAGTCACACATGGTGCAGCAAGTCCTTCAGCGCTTCGACTTCACGTACTCCTCGCCTCAGGCCACTCCTCTGTCTACTCGCCACTCACTCTTAGCTCTGCCTTCGGATGAGTCCGTAGAGTCGAGTGGCCCGTACCCAGAGCTTGTTGGCTGCCTCATGTACCTAATGACCTGCACTCGACCTGACCTTGCATACCCTCTGAGCATTCTTGCACGCTATGTTGCTCCTGGGAGACACCGACCAGAGCACATGGCTGCAGCGAAGAGGGTATTGCGCTACCTGTGCAGTACGTCGGGCATGGGGCTAGTGCTTGGAGGGCGGAGTCCAGTGGTCCTTACAGGCCACGCGGACGCTTCTTGGGCTGACGACCAGGCTACGCAGCGGTCGTCACAGGGTTACACCTTCAGTCTTGGTTCCGGCTCTGTCTCGTGGCGGTCTACTCGTTCGTCTTTGGTTCTCAGCTCCAGTTGTGAGGCTGAGATCTACGCCGGGGCCATGGCTGCACAGGAGCTTCGCTGGCTCACCTACCTGCTGACTGACCTTGGAGAGCCGCCTCGTTCTCCTCCAGTGCTGTACGTAGACAACAAGGCCATGCTGGCCTTGTGTCGAGAGCAGCGCTTGGAGCACAGAACGAAGCACAATGCTCTCCGTTACTTCCTTGCTCGTGAGCTGCAGCAGCGTGGTCAGTTGCGACTTGCGTACGTAGCCTCTGAGGCCAACACTGCTGATGTGTTCACCAAGGCACTCGCGCCTTGTGACCATCAGCGCTTCTGCACCCAGTTGGGTTTTGTGCTTGTCTTGCCTCACTTGCTCTCTTCTTGACTTTACTTGTACTGTGACATATATATATCTGCTCCTGCTTGTCTAGTTTTATATATATGTCTGTATTCCTGCATGTGAACCGGCCTCTGGCCCTGCTCTTGTGCTCGGACTGTGTGGTGACTTTGTGATCCACCCTGAGCTTGCTTTGCTTTGCTTTGCTTGACTGGTCTTGTGACCCCTTGTTCTCCCCCACTTTGCCTATGGGGGTGTGTTAGATTATTATAGCTGATGCATGTTTGTAGACTATAGTGGGGTAGCACATATGGGGTACAACTTTCTGGGGTTGTATTTGTACCCAACACTGGCTTAGTCATTCCATTCTTGGTCATTTATTTTCACACATAACCTATTTCTTAGCTTTTGGTCAAGAGATGGATGCTTCTAAGGAGGCGCCTGTGGTTGGCAATGAAGGGGATAATGTTGCTGCTACTGTTGTTGCTGACATTGATCTTAACCAAGATGAGTTCTTGGATGACCTGGAGATCAATGGCAGTGAAGCTAAAGCTAAGGCTGGTGCTGATAATGAGGATGAGGCCGATACTAACGAGGGTGTCTCCAATGAGACTAAGGACGGTGCGGTCAAGCTCTAGACCTGGATCACGAAGCAGAATGTTCTCATTGGGAGCAACAGTGCTGCATCCAAAACTTGGAGGCTGACTCTGCCCAGCTCAAGACCTTGATTGAGGAGCTGATCAAGGAAGTGCAGCTGATCCCTAAGGGCACCTCCAACTTCATTCTAGACCTGCAGAACACTCTCAAGTTCGTGCAAGGGCAGCTCAACAAGCATCAGACTCTCATCTCCCAGCTTCAGGCTCAGTACAAGGAGATCCGGCGTGGCAACATTTATCAGCCTCCTCCTGCAGCTGAGCGTGCCGCAGCTTCCACCAATAGCCGTGCTGAACCTGCTGTCACACCTTCTGATGTCTCCCCTACTGCTCGAGCACGTATTGAGCCTCCTGCTGCAGCTGCAACTGCCTTTGGCTCCTGCCCTTTGGCCCTGCCTCGTTTTGTCCACGGCAAGACCGATGTCAAGATTTGGCTCTCCATTGCGGAGGACTTCATGTCCGTCCACAATGTGCGTAGCGAGGCTCGCGTGGTCGCAGCGACCCTTGCCTTGGATGACACGGCGAGCAAGTTGGTGTATGCCAACGAGCGCCACGCAGAGGCAAATGGCCATCCTTTTGGCTGGGAGGAGTTCAAAACTGCTATGCTGACGGCATTCCTGAGTCAACCCCCGGCGCTCGAGGTGCGTAGCCGCCTAGAGAACATCCAGTGCGGTGACCAGCCTGTACACGAGTATGCCAAGGAGTTCGAGAAAACTCTGTCGCTGCTGAAGACCGCTTTTCCTGAGAGCGAGGTCATCCACCAGTTTTTCGAGCACATTAAGCGTGTGCACGTTGTTCGAGGGGAGCACCAGTGGAAGACCTACAAGGAGTGCAAGGAGCATGTCATTGACACGAATGTGAATTTTCGTGCGTACATGAGTCACGCTCGTGCTCAGCAGCCGCCTAGTGTCGAAGGCCCTTAGGGGGGGTGGTAGCAGGACCTCGGCGCCCAAGGGCCATGGTTCTTGGAAGATGCCTTATCAGCAGAAGGGGGAACCCTCTGGGACACAGTCCAAGAAGCCCATGCGGGGTCCACCAAGGACCCTCAGGATGCTGATAAGCCCTCGGCGGGCTGCCACATCTATGGCAAGCTCGCCCACAAGGCCTACAACTGCCGTTGGAGGAAGACGGTCAATAATTCCAGCAAGCCCAACCAGGGCAAGAAGCCGGATGGTTCTGATCTTTCGGTGTCAGAACATTATAGCTTACATATTTGTGTATGCTATAGTGGGGTATCCCATAGGGGGTACAACCCAATTAGGGTTTCCTATATGTACTCATTTCATTCATAGTTGATTCATTTTTTCTCGTTCTCATTCTCATTTGGAATCAGAGCAGGTCCCCACCGACTGTTCCTAGGGCCCACCGAAGCGCGCCTCGAGTCGCGCTCTCCTCTTTTATTCCTTTTTTAGCGACCCGTCGGGTCGCCTCCTAACGACGCGCCGAGCCGCCCTAGCTGACGGCCCGCCCACCACCCTACGTCGCGGCCCGCTCGCAGCCCTACGGTGCGGCCTACCCGCCGCCCTACGTCGCGGCCTCGCCGCCCTAAGTCGCGGCCCCGCCGCCCTACGTCGACGGCCCGCCCGCCGCCCTGTGTCGCGGCCTGCCCGCCGCCCCACTCTCGGCCTGCCTGCCGCCCTACGTCGCGGCCTCACCGCCCTAAGTCGCGGCCCCGCCGCCCCAATACGACGTCCCGCCCGCCGCCCTGCGTCGCGGCCTGCCCGCCGCCCCACTCGCGGCCTGCCCGCCGCCCTACGTCGCGGCCTGCCCGCCGCCCCACTAGCGGCCTGCCCGCCGCCCTACGTCGCGGCCTGCCCGCCGCCCTACGTCGCGCCCTGCCCGCCGCCCTACCTGCGGCCTACCCGCCGCCCTGCGTCGCGGCCCGCCCGCCGCCCTACGTCGCGGCCTGCCCGCCGCCCTACCTGCGGCCCACCTGCCGCCCTACGTCGCGGCCCGCCCGCCGCCCTACGTCGTGGCCTGCCCGCCGCCCTACAATGCGGACCGACGGCCGCCCTACATTGCGGCGCGCTCGCCGCCCTACCTGCGGCTCGCCTGCCGCCCCACCTGCGGCACGCGTGCCGCCCTACCTGCGGCCCACCCGCCGTCCTACCCACGGCAGCCGAGCCGCCGAGCTGCCCAGCAGCCGAGCTGCCGAGCCGCCCAGCACCCGAGCCGCCAAGCAGCCGAGCCGCCTAGCAGCCGTGCCGCCGAGCCGCCCAGCAGCCGAGCCGCCCAGCAACCGAGCCGCCCAGCAGCTGAGCCGCCGAGCCGCCGAGCCGCCCAGCAGCCGAGCTACCGAGCCGCCGAGCCGCCCAGCAGCCGAGCCGCCGAGCCGCCCAGCAGCCGAGCCGCCGGCCACCAAGCTGCCTTACTTCCTGTTCTGCCCAGTCTGGTGAGCACAGAGCCCTTTTCACTGCACTGCCCTCACCCTACGGCTTGCACTGCTAGGCGTCTGTCCTCATGGCTACCCCTAGTGTCCTAGCTTTTGACGCTGAGGGTCGTGCCATTGACTTTGAGGTCTGGGTCGACGACCTGCAGCTGTACTTGCAGTGCGATAGGGTAGATGACATTTCTCTCTTTGACCTTACCTCAGGTGCCGTCCCTGCCCCTGCTGCTGATTCTGACCCCACTGTTCGCTCCAAGTGGGCCACACGCGATGCTGCTGCACGTCTTGCTGTGCGTCCCCACCGCGTGCACACTTTAGCCAGTACAAGAGTGCACAGACCTTGTACGACGCTGTAGTTGCACGCTACTCCTCCCTTGCCACTGCTGCACTGAGCCGTCTCATGCTACCGTACCTCTTCCCTGACCTTGCTGCCTTTCCCACTGTCGCGGACCTCATTACGCACCTCCGCACTAGTGACACTCGCTACCGCGCTGCGCTTCCTGCTGACTTCTGCGCCAATAACCTCCCCCACCATGTACATCACTCTCTACTTTCTAGTCACCCGTCTCCCTGAGTCCCTTCGTGAGGTTAGGGACCACTTTCTCTCGGTCTGTCCCACCACTCTCACTGTCGACCTACTCGAGAAGTCCCTCCTAGCGGCCGAGAAGAGCATAGTCGATGTAGGGGCCTCTCGTGGTGACCCTCGCACCCCCATCTTTGAGGGGTGTTCTCCTTCCTCACTATTACCCTCTGTCGCCTCTCCTGCTGCGGCCGACCTCGTTGGTCTTGAGTCGGTCGGTGCGGCGTCTGCCCCTAGTTGGAGACGCCGCCCTGGCAAGGGCAAGGGGGGCAAGGGCGCGGGTGGAGCTAGCGGGGGCGGTGGCGGAGGAGGTGGGGGCGGCGGGGGAAGTGGGGGTGGCGGTGGAGGTGGTAGCAGGGGTGGGGGTACTAGTGGCGGCAGTGGAGGCGGAGGTGGTGGCGGTGGTGGCGGTGGGAGCGGAGGTGGTGGAGGTGGCGGCGGTGGAGGCGGAGGCGGGGGTGGCGGTGGTGGAGGTGGTCGAAGTGGCTCTTCGCAGCGGAGCAGCACTGGGGGTGGTCAGCGCCAGCAGCAGCAGCAGCAGCAGCAGCAGCGTTCTCGCGACGTCCCCGCCCCTCAGCAGCTCCGTGAGTGGTACACGCAGCGTCAGCGTGGTGGCGCTTTTGGTCCCTACACCTACGTCCTTCGCACCGGCGACCGCGCGGGTGAGCAGTGTGGGGGTACCCACACCGCCCAGCGCTGCTTTGGCTGCCTGACGGACGCTTGGCGCCAGCAGTTCCCGGAGGCCTCTGAGATCCCCCGCTGGGGAGAGCTGTCTGGGGCTGGTGTAGCTATTTTTGATCTTGACTTTGATGCTATCCTTGCTGCTATGTATGCTGTGACTGTTAGTGATGAGGGTGACTATTACCGGTGTTTCTCGCCCGCCCGGGCATTGGTACTGCTGCTCTAGGTGCCACTGAGGCCACAGCTCTAGGTGCCAGTGCGTCTGCGCTCTCAGGTACTAGTGAGTCTGCGCTCTCAGGTACTGCGTCGGCTTCGGCCTCACACACCTTCACCCTTGACTCTAGGGCATCTCGCTCCTTCTTTCGGGACCGCACCACACTCACGCCCCATAGTCGGCCGGTTGCGGTGTCCCTGGCTGACCCCTCTGGGGGTCCTGTCCTGTCTCGCTTCTCCACACTCCTCCCCTGTCCGGCGGCCCCCTCTGCCACCCTATCTGGTCTCTACCTCCCCTCGTTCTCTACGAACCTGGTGAGTGGTGCTGACTTACAGGATGCGGGTGTCCACCAATTCACTCCTGCACGTCAGCGGGTGACGCACTGCACAAAGGCTAGCACAGATCGCCACCTGGCTACGTTTACACGTCAGCCAGGGTCGAGCCTGTACACACTGACAACTGCTTCTCCTCCCGTTGCTGAGTTTGGTAGGATCCCTTCGTCTGGTCATGTGTTTGCTACAGCGTCCAGGTCTGGTCCTGAGTCTGCCCCCTGTTCGTGTCGTCGTCTGTCTCACGAGACCCTCCTCTGGCACCACCGTCTTGGTCACCCCTCTCTGCTTCGGCTCAGAGGCATGGCCTCCCGTCTTCTTGTGTCTGGTCTCCCCCGGTCCCTCCCTCCCCTTCCTCAGGGCCCTAACCCTGCGTGTGTCCCCTGTGTCGAGGGGCGCCAGCGTGCTGCCCCTCACTCCTCCCAGTTCCCTCCGACAGAGGCTTCGTTGCAGACGCTTCACATGGACGTGTGGGACCCTGCCCGCGTCCGTGGACTCGGTCACGAGCGCTACTTCCTGTTGGTGGTTGACGACTACTCGCGTTACACCACAGTCTTCCCTTTGCGCAGCAAGGGTGATGTCACTGAGGTGCTGATCGATTGGATCCGCGCAGCTCGTCTCCAGCTCAGGCAGAGCTTTGGCTCGGACTTTCCTGTGCTGCGTCTGCACTCGGACAGAGGCGGAGAGTTCTCCTCTGGCCTTCTGCGTGCCTACTGTCGTGCGCGAGGTATCCGTCAAAACTTCACGCTTCCGGACTCACCGCAGCAAAATGGGATTGCAGAGCGCCGCATTGGCATGGTCATGGACGTCGCTCATACATCTATGATGCATGCGGCTGCCCCCCATTTTCTGTGGCCGTTTGCGGTCAGGTACGCGGCGCATCAGATCAACCTCCACCCGAGGGTCTCTAGGCCGGAGACCTCCCCAGCCCTGCTGTGGACGGGGAAGGTTGGCGATGCGTCGGCGTTCCGGGTCGGGGGATCTCGGGCGTTTGTCCGCGACTTATCTGCGGACAAGCTGTCCCCTCGCGCTGCTCCTTGCGTCTTCCTGGGGTTCCCCCCCGACGCCCCTGGGTGGCAGTTCTACCACCCCACCTCTCGCCGTCTTCGGTCCTCCCAGGACGTCACGTTCGACGAGTCGGTACCCTACTACCGCCTCTTCCCCTACCGCACTCCGTCCCTCTCCTCGCCCCCGCTCTTCTTGGTACCAGGTCCCCCCCCTGGTAGACCCCCTCCCCCCTCAGGGTCGTGCCCCTTCAGGTGAGGTCTGGTAGACGCCGTCGAGCCTGTCGAGGTCACTGGTGACTCTGGTGCTGCTGCGGGTGCTGAGCCCAGGGGTGCTGAGACTGGGGGTGCTGAGCCTAGGGGTGCTGAGACTGGGGGTGCTGAGCCTGGGGGTGCTGGGCCTCGGGGAGCGGAGCCTGGGGGTGCTGAGCCTTGGGGTGCGGAGCCTGGGGGTGCTGAGCCTGGGGGTGCTGAGCCTGGAGGTGCTGAGCCTAGGGGTGCTGAGCCTGGGGGTGCTGAGACTGGAGGCGCTACGCCTGGAGGTGCCTTGCTTAGGGGTACAGAGCCTGGAGGTTCTTCGCCTGGAGGTTCTCCGTGTGCTTCGTCTCGCCGGGAGCCACTCTCCCCACAGGAGCTGCGTGAGTGGTTTGCCCGACGCTGGAGGCGTGCTGCTGGTGCTGGAGGTTCTTCCGCTGCTGAGGATGCTGCTGTCGCGGGTCCCGGAGGTGC